AATGTTGAAACTAACGATGCCAATATCCAAAGTAAACACCTGAAACAAACAATATCCAAAAATAAACAATTGCAAATAAAATTCTATTGTAAATAAATTTCATTTCTTCATCCAAAATTTGATATTTTTCCATCTTCGTAACTTCATTCATCAGCAAAATTAGAGATTACACAAGATAGCTACTGAAAAACGAAAGAAATATTATACTCTATATCATCATAATAACTATGATTAAAATTTACATTATCTGATAAATAAAATTATCTTCTCATCGACATCCTCATCATTCATCTTTGAGCAATATCCAAAATATGCAGACGGCTTAGAATTTGCTATTAATAAAGTAACATAATTAATAATAAGAGAATTCATAAAATGAACAATATGAAAAACAAATGTTTATATACATCGTACGGTGAATATCGGCCTATAACCAATCTTGAGTACATATTAAAGCCTCCAAAGTTTTGGGCAAAGTCTATTTTTGTGTGGACTAACAAATCTACCATTAGTACTGAAGGCAAATTCGGACGTCACTGTAGAAACAGGGATGATTAAAATATCTGTTGAAATTTGAGATAAAGTCGGATTGGGGTTGCGTTTTGCCCTTTTGTAATTAATTTTAATTTTTTTCTTCTCCACGGGCACGAGTACGAGGCAAAAAAATTTCATGGGGCGAATTTTTCTGTCATCTCTAGTTTAACTAAAGCAATATAATCTAAACTCCAAAAAAGAGTAGTGTGATAATAAGTGAGTGAGAAGACAAATAATAGCTTTAAGTGTTAAGAGTTACATTAGCCTTCAAATGATACGAGATGGATATTTATACTGTTGCACATGAAATAGTGTCTCTTTGACGAGGGGCACGTGTCTTCATCTCCTTAATTGGAACATCCTATTCTAAGTATCAATTTGACTTCACTAGCCTTGACGAATTTAATGCTCTTAAAAAGAGTAGTCACCCTACAACTTATACTGACAAGACTTTGACATATCTTCATTACAAAAGTCAAATAAATCTTCTGTCTTTGAGCGGAGTTTCCTCCCGTCCTAGTTAGGTTTTCAACAACACAACTATTACTTGCATAAGAATCATAATTAACCCATAAAAATTCAAAAAAATTTAAGGTCATGTTTGAACCACATTTTTTCAAAAAAATAAATTTTTAAACAGTGATTTGACATCATTTCAACCACACATTCTTCAATAAAATAATATTATACGCAAATTCAAAATGTTTCTTTATTTTTTAACCACACATT